ACTCAGTGGGCAACCACTTGGACATTAGGTGAAAAAACGAAAATGCGCTTTTTCGAGATTCAAATAGCAGGTCATATAGTTTAGCTTACGCTCTATTTAAATGGCATAGGAAGTTTTTTCCCAAGTGCCTTAGTTAGTGAGAAAATGGCTGAGGAAATTTTTGTTGTAAAATAGAGCGATGAAGACAGAAAAATATTTTTCGCCAAATCAAATCTAATAATTATAAAAATCACATCTGATTAGAACCCATTCATAAAAAGTTTTTATAGACAACTTTGGAACTGAGAAAATAATGTGTCTTTCTTCTTCTACGCTAAGTGTTTTCGGGAGAGCGGCCCTCAGTATAGTCGGGTTTCCCAAGGTCCAAATTTAATGAAATTTTTGTAGAAGATGGTTCTACTAGTTATACAGTTATATAGATAGATAGCAGAAAGTAGCGAAAGTGTTCCTGAACTGAATTGTAGATTTCTAAAAAAACCTTGGTTTTTGGAGTCAAGTCTTTTTTTCCCTTCAAGAAGCAACTGTATTGAAAAATAGTAACATATTCGAAATCACACAAAATTGCGTCGAATGATGTGTCAGTTATATGTATTTATGCGCAAAAATCGTTTGATTTAATGAAATGACACATTTGCAGAATTTCCGTAGTAATTTTGACTAGACACGCGGACATATGTCATAAAAGCGATACGACAGTCTCTAAACATTAGTTTTCTAGATTTTCGAATGTGCACATCTTTTAAATGGTGTGATTCACAAGTTCAAAGATGTTTTTATCAGGGTTTTCCAAAGATTCGGCGTCTGGAAAATCCGACTAAAAGTGTTTTTGAACTTTGTAAATCACACCATTGGAAAGAGCATATACGAAAACCTAGAAAACGTTGAGAGGCTTTCGTATCATTTTTATGACACATGTCCGCGTGCCTACTCAAAACTGCCCATTATGTATCAGCATCTAAATAGTCGAGCGACATTTCTAAAGCAATGACATCATCCATCCAATAAGTATGAACAAGCACAACTGTTTTCAAAGAAAGCTGCTGTAATAATTTTAGAGAATGAATCCAAGAAGTTAAAACGAAAAGTGCAAGTTTGAAATGTATCTGTGTAAGTGAAACACAAACTAAGCTCATTCTTGGCAGACATATATGAAGGATCATAGGCTACCAAATATCCAAAATTTACTTGAAGCTATTTGCAAAAATGTGTTAAAGAAACTGGATGGGAGCAGAATTTGAACTGAAAGAATTTGAACAAAAATTTATGAGTGTGTGCGATACAAATGAACAAAAGTATCAAACAACAATTAATGATTTAAAAGAAACTATAAAACAATTGAGCATAAAGATTAACAAAAATCTAGGTAAAATTGAACATATAAAAACCGAATTTCAATGGGATCATGAAACAGGTAAAAGTCATCTTGTGTATATAATCCGTCTAACGACACCACAATCAAATGTGTATTTATCATTAATAAATAATAATACTGAACAGAAAATACCATATTCATTTCTAGAAGAACATTGGACACTTGTCTATAATAAACCGTTTAATCATCCAACAACAGTAGAAGAATTACGATCCCTAATATCCCAATGTACGAAAAACATTATTGTTGCTGCCGCAGAGAAAGATCTGAAAGTATTAACGTTCTCAGCCTATGGTCCAAAAAATGTATTAGAGTTAAATACAACACAAAATGAACCAGTTAAATATGGAGATGTTTATTGGTATTTAACACCACCATTTTCATTTGGCTTTTCACCAACACAAACTATTAAACAAACTGTCGTTGATGAACAAGGTGATAAACGACTATCATGGTTTCTTGATGGTTTTACTGGTGGTTATCGTGTTGGTATGAAAAAAATGTTAAATGATAATCTCAATTGCCGTAAAATAATTTTTACTCTGAGGTCAAATTAGAAGGATTTATATTAATTTAAGTAATATGGTATCTTGTAACTCCAATGATGTATTTTTCGGATTTTACTCATATTTTTACAGTAAAGAAAATTTTATTTTATTACTCATTTAAAAGTTTTATACCTTAGTGGAGGCATCCTCTAGAACGTCTTCGATCGTAGAGAATAGTCCTTACGCAATAATGAAACATTCTTTTAACGTTCCAAGAAATACGTTCTTTAGAATTATCCTTCAATGTAAATACGATAAAATTGCATCACAATGCACCTATTAACGGCGTCACCACGCGCGTGCTTAGATATTATCGACTGGATAATTACTAATTCCGGGCTCTAGCATCCAGCGATTCCGATCAAGGGAGCGCCTCCCTGCAACTTCTGACTTTCCGTAAAAGTTGTCTTCATTCTAGTTTTGCTCCATCACTTTCCGCTGCAAAAGTTGTTTCTAAGCATTTTCTAAGCACAATGAAAGTCCCCCTGACCAAGAAAAAAATCGGAAACCCTCCTAGCATCTGGTAAGTACGTTTATCGTGGGACAATGAATGACTGTAGTTGATCAATGTTTGTTTGACTCTAAAAGATTTACCAAATTCAACTGCGGCAGCGATTCGATAATTGAACAACTGACGTAGAGCCAGGGTACTGAAAGGATGATTTGATATGGACCACTACTATTGTAAACGATGTTCACTTATTGAATACACCGGATGCGCCAAAATGATTGCAATATCGCGTATTTTGCACATATCTCGGCACAAATAAATCATAAAATCTTGAATTTCTTTTAAAATATGCGCCGTCAAATTCTCTACAAGAATGGCAATGCAAAATTCCATTGAGTTATTCTAATGATTTTTTATAAGGCTAA